AATGCATTAAGTATTAATCAATGGTCAGGTGGCTGCGTTCCATCGCCCAAAGTAGGAGAGCTGAAGGCATTCCAATCATTACTTCCTCTGTCCGGAATAAAATGAAACAGTGTGTTTTGGCGGTCGTCTTTGTATCACTTGTCTACTATTTTTTCTTCAAGAATTGACCAGAGCACTGAATACAAGGTGAGTACGTGCTCCCATATTTTTGCAAACAACGGATTGGTGCAGATCGTATCGTAGTACTTTGAACCCACACGACTTTTCCAAAGGCTCAAATTTCTCTCGCTCGCGACCCCCCCCTCACAACGGCCCCTTGACCAGGTCGCCTTGCGACTGTCAGTGCGCGGCGCATATTGGATATCTGGAGGCAGGTCGGAGGCCTTCCTCTCGAATCACAGAGGCCCCGTAACCGAGACCCGTACTGCTCGATCGTCGATCACGACCATGGCTTTGACGGCCGTTAGAGCAATTCAATTTCGAATCGGGAAACCGGACCCCGGCGGACTTGACAATCAGAGCGTTTTCACAAGGAACCGCCGCCTTGGGCAGAGTGGCTGCAAGTGTTTAGGCCCTCGCAGAAATCTTTTAAGAGTACGATTGTCAACTCCCTTCACAGCAGCGAGAAAATCGCTGGGTGAGGCTGACCTAGGCATCTGCCACTTGAGAGCTTCGTTTGCCATTCACTCCGCTGTGAGATATGCTGCTGCAACAGATTCTTGACGTCTCCCTTGCGGAACGCAAGAGCACCACCATGCACCATTTGGGGTCTCCGATTGAGCATCCACACACTCCATCTGTCGTGTTTGGTGGGATTGATGTCGTCATGTGAGGAGGCGTTCCGTGCACCTGGTAAACCATGCATTGTGGATCCGCAACAAAAGGAGTGCTGTTGGCGCAAGCCGTTGTCCAAGGCCAGGTTTCAAACGCCGAAAGAACTGCTGGAAACGGCAGATCCCAGTTATGTACTTCATAGAAGTACTTCATAGTAGTACATAGAAGTACTTGCGTCGCCGTGGACGATGGCAGGGACTTCCGCAAATCAGCGATGGCGAGATGCGCTACCATCGCCAATCTCCACCGGCTGTCCATCGTGATGGCTGCCGATCGTTGCGTTAGAGCCTGAGCGAGGCTGGCCGCTCTGCCCTTCCAGTGCCCTGAAGTCCACCAAAAGGGGCCGCACGTGTGTGTTGGGCCATCCCGGACCGGGGTAACCATTTTTTGGCGGGCGGAGAATGCGGGAGCGTCCAACTTCTGGACTGGAATGGCGCTGTTTCAATGCAACCGAATGCGCTGAGCTTAACCGTTCCTTTTGAAGTTTTCAGGCAGCAACTAAACATGTACGGTAGGTGCTGCGGGTGCATTTTGAAGAAAAAACAGACAAGTACTTGATACGAATGCAGCCTCCCAACAAATTGTTTCATTTAATTCCAGACATAAGAAATAAACTATTGTTGGAAAGGAACGCAAAACTTCGTTCCGAGGAACATGAACTCATCTCGGCGTCACGGGACACATCGTCTATATCAAAATAATTTATACGTATTTATATTTATTTATACCGTACAGGGTGAATCGGGGAAGAAAATTGCAACAAGCGCGCGTGAAACGATGGTCGCATGGGACGTCTGCAAGTCAGATCAAACATCGTTTGAGATTCAAACACGGCACCCTCGTAGAAAGTTGCAATTCCGAGATGCGATCCTGTACAGTATATCAGCGCTCCATATCTACAATGTTTCCATATCGCCAACCACACTTTCCCCGTGTCCAGAGTAAGGTGCATCCATATTCAGGACATTTGGGAAGATATGTGACCTGCAGACGACCGTCTTCCCCGCGCCTCATCATGCGCAGTCGCGGGCGAATATCCCATATACATGCATCAATCACAATCGATTGATGACGATGAGAGGTTGGTGTTTAATTATAGAAGACAAGCCAAAGGAAATCTGGTTTCGATGTTTACGATTGCGTGACTGCGATGCGATCAAGGGTAAGATTAGTATTCAGCGAGTCGAATTTGAAGCTGCGCCTTCTCTGCACAGACAGCACCAAAGTCGGATGTTTGGTGCTTTTCTAAATAGTGTAAATAAGTATGCATTGAAGTTTCGATGGCATTTATGTTTCTATCGATATGGCGAAAGGTCCCCTTGGCAGTCTGCTACAGTGCACGGAACAGTATACAAGACTCGCAGTGCTAGGTCTCCAAGGGTTACAACCAAGGCCTCGACAATTGCCCGAAGCTGCAAGTCGGTAAGAAATAGTACGCATGGTATCCTGGAATGGAGCAGGATACGAGACCCCCATATCGTCTCCCATATCATGAATATGATGTTGGCATGGGCGCGGCATCCGGACATGCATATGGTCCTGGATATGGCCATATCACGGATACTTATACCCATCATATCCCTCCCATATCCCAGGTATGTATACCCAGTGCTTGGGCCCCATATCCTGGATATACAATCCCTCATGACTCGCCATGTCTTGCCATCGGTCTTCATAGCTGTTAGACAAGTCATTAAAGCTAAAGTGGAAAAATTTCCAACAAAGGAATTTCTATGGAAGCTACACAATTACATTGATCTGGATAGTAGAACAGCTGAACAATTGGACAATTGTAATAATTTCGTTTATAGGATTTTTGCTGCATAGCAGTGGATCCGCGCAGTTCTGAAACAAGCTAAAGTCACTACTTCCCCGCAGGAGGGGTAGAGATGTTTGAATATAACGAAAGCCGCAAAGAAACCCCAAAATGCTATGAAGGTCTGCGGTATTGCAGAGCAGCTGGACGGCGTATTGCTGACCCGCGGTGCAGTTGCTCAAAAGACCAGGCGAGGCACATCGGCGGCCCGATTTGAAGCAGCGCATGCAACAAAAGCTGTGGTGGCAGCTCTGACTGTTGCCCCGAGCGAGCATGTCTTAAGCTGCGCTTTCAGGCGCGTTGAGACGTTATGTCACAACATCCGGGCGCCAAAGGCGTCAGGATTGCACAGTGGTTATGTCTCCCTTAATATGGACGGTATTGCGTATATTTCATACGCACGTGATGCACCCGGTGCATTGCGCCGTGCTGTGCGCTTTGGTCTTGAGTGTGAGCCACAGCGGTATGGATTTGAAACAAAGATATTGACTTTGAGGACGTTTGGAGTGTCGGAGTGCCGGACGACCGAGCTCGTGGCGCACCTATAGAATGGCTTTTCTTCCACTCTGCCGCGGATGTAGTTTGCTCTCAGAGGTGACGGTTAGGTTACTCTGGAAATCTTTTGTTGTGGTGGTAAAGGCGGTGGGTAACGATGATCGATCAAAGTGCAAGTGTCGCGAATTAACTCTTCTGGCGGTGGATCCTATCAGGGGGGGGCTCTAGTTGCTATTATCAACGAAAATGATGACCACCAAACTTGATTGCAGAACTTCGGCGGCAGCACTGATAGAAATTTGAGTTGTTTTCGAAATTGGGCTTAAAGATTTTCATCGGTTCATCTCTAACCAATGCTATGAGCAGCACGGAGATTAAAGTGAAAAATGACGGCTGATTCGCAACATGGTATTCTAAAGCACGCCGCGTTACGTAGCGCAAATGTAAGTTGCGTCCAACGGCGAACGTTACACAGTCTTGCCGGTCATTCCCTTCTGCCGAATTTAAGTTCGACAATACTAATTTGACAGAAGGAGTTTCCCACTTGCAGCACAGCTGCCAAAGCTATTTAACATGATCGCTACAATGGAGCGGGCATGGCCTCGTCCAGAAACACCGCAAAACAGGCACAGCACCAGGGTCAGGGACCTGTTCCCGACTCCTGCACGCACCCAAGCAGGAGTGCCGCAGGGGCCACGCATGGCATATGGCAGCATCTTTCACTTGTTTGGCAGGCGGTACCTGCGACGGGGCTTTCAAGGAGACCCATCCATAATTCGACCGGATCGCCTGCCATCCTAAAAGTGTTTGGTGAGCGTAGCCGTGCATCTCCCTGTACGTTTGCACACGTCCGTAACTGCGACTAAACTCATTAATAAAGAATGGGGATGTCATTCCGCATTTTGCACAAAAAGCATATTACTGCGTAAAAGTACAAGCGTTCTTCTTTAATTATTTTAGTCGCATTTCGGGATTATGTGAGTCCAGACTTGGTTGGCAAGCCCCACCGTGGGCCCCACGGCGTGGGGCCCATTTGGGGGTGGTTTGGTTCAATTGTTATCCTAGCTGCGATGTGCAACACTAGGAAAAAAAGCGCCAAATAACACTTCTGCGAACACACATAAAACACATTTCATCAAAGTTGTGCACGCTAATAACACAAGAATAACACAAACCCGTAAACTTTGTACACGTTTGAACACGTGTTATTTGGGCCTTCTTTTCCTTGTGCAAGTTCAGGTCCCTATTGAGGTTCGGTCGTCACTCTGTCCTCAGTGTTGCATACTTTACTGCATGAATTGACAACTTCCCGTCAAGCACCAACCTGCCAGTCAGGCCATCAGTGTTGCCGGCCGCTTATACTGACACCTATTCGCAAGACCGTACAATGAGCGTCAATCAGCGATACACTGGATGTCAATGCACAAATGATGGACACCACCTTGTTTGGCCGAAAGAGGACGTTGACGGCTACCTGCTTGCTTTGTTATTTAAAAAAATCAAAAAGGTGTTCAACATCTGTCAATCATGGCAATAATGCCGAAATCAACTTAAATGCTGACAGTAGCGGCGATGAAGGACGGCAGCGTCGAGGGGTGGCAGCCCCTGAGCGGGGCCAGTGGGTCTGAGTACACGGCAACGCATGACAGCGGAGCGGAGTGTCTCTTGGGTCTCAGACCCCTAAATACAAGGTCATGCGTTAATGTCATTGATGACTCAATCAATGCCGCATCAGCCGTCCCCCCGGCTCCTATGTTCCTTGGGATGACAGATAGGTATGCGGCCCGGGATCCGGTGCTTTGCTCGCACGGACCCTTCCGCCTTGCCAGAGTGGCGCCGCGGCTGCAGCGCGGCAATGCACGGGAAGCGGGCTGGGCGGACGGAAGCCGGCGGCCGCGATGGCGATTCGGAAGGAGGCTCCCGGCCAGAAGCTGGGGCCCTGGATTCAGCAGATCGGCAGGTAACGCGCTGACGGCCACACCGGACGCCGAAAAGGCCGACTTAGGGGAAAGGGGAACGCGGCCAAAACTGGCAGGGGCTTGGGGAAGCTGGAGGCCGGAGCACAGATCGGGGTTTTGTGTGGGGCTTCGTGTGGTTTGGAGGAGGCTGGCACGATGCTGGAGGGGCTCGCACGTTCACAGGCCTGCGGAATCTAGATTCAGCACCTTTGGTCGACAAGTTGGTGTGGCTTCAATGTGTTGAGTAGTCAAGCCTTGCACCCAATATGGCCGAAAGGCTGCTGTTGCTGGCTTGGTGCCTCTCCAGGTGTTGGGGTGGTTGCGACTGGTGGGGTTGCAGAAGGCAATGCCGCATGAAGGCCTTGGCAGGAGGGAGGGGAGGGGAGGGGAGGGGGTTGGTTGATCCAGATCGCCATACCGACATTCTCTTCAGGCAGTTGGGCCCTTTCTGTGACGTTCCGTAGATGGATTGTCAAAAATGTAACGACAAATGAACCCTTTGCACCTGTCAGGTGACGGCAGGTGCAGAAAGCTCCAACCAGCATTCGCTAATGTGGTGAACAGGAGCAAAATTGTATGGGAAGCGCATGTGCATGGGTAAAATCCTGTTGGCAAAGTGGACATGTGTCCGAAGCACCAAGTCCTTTGCCCTGATTCAAACGTTGTGGTTTGCCAGGAATAGAACTTCCCTTTTTGTTTAAAGCCTATATTTGTATCATTCAGTCGCCATTTTTCTATAGAATGCACCAGGGCACTACGAGCATACACTCTGCCCTTCAAAACAGGCCAGAAACAGATATATGCAATGGAATTGGGAGTACTGTATAACCACAGGCTCGGGGCCAGAATTTGAGCTTGTTGATGTGAACCGATTCTGCCGAAGAAATGGGGCCAGTGTCCAGGATGGGCCCATTCAGGACCAAGGCTCCTTCCCATTGACGTGCCACTGCCTGGGTGGATATCACAACCCTGCTCTGATCTGATGTTTGGCACTCATCCAAGCAGTCATGTACAGGGACACAACAGCATGTCTTCCATTTGCCGCTGTCAACAGGTCATCTTGCGTATTGAGATAACTGGCATATTATCTGCTTACACCAAAACTTGCTTTGTTGCAGACTTCCAATTCAATTTCTGGTGCACAAAACACCTTTGCAGATATGGCATGACACACTCACAGTAATCCACAATGACACCGTTACAAATCGGCCAAAATACACGATTTTTAAAATCGTGTATTGTGTATCACCATTATATGTCATGCACAGATCGTGTGCTTGTTGCAAACAGCAATATTTGTTTGGACCTGGGATAAAAATATGACGGGAAATGTATACAATCATGTGTTTTGTTGTGTGGTAACGTAATAGATGTGGACCATTTTTGTGTAACATGATACAGTTAATTACACGATCTGGGCAAATAGGGACAAAAGCACATGATATCTACTTGATGTTATGCAGTTGTACATGATTATTAAATGATTGGATACTGTGCATTTTGGCCATTTTTTAGTAATGTGATGGAAGGTGTTGTTGTGCAATGGGAGGATCCAAGCATGTGTGTAGTTGGCAGTCTTGTTCCTTGTGCAGGTAGAATGATGAAGCCTTTGTGGCAGCATCTTTCAAGCAGTGTGAATGGCCATGAAATGCTGTTCAGCAGTGTTGCCCATCTCTTACAGCCTTTGTTAGCAGTCTCTGGTTCTTATGCAAAGTGGTGGCAATCTGTTTCCAGCGTATATATGACAGTCAAGCCCTTGAAGTCGCACTATCAAATGGCGATGGCGCGCTCTGAACCCTTCAATCAGGAACTTGGCGCTGTTCATTATTTCGATCTGGGGACAAAAATCCTGCCAAGTCTGCCAGACTAGTCAATATCCAAGATCACGTGAGAGAAACCCTATTCTGCAGTATCTCTGCTTGGTGGGATTGCCTACAACCTGCAACCAAGTGGAGGTCATGTATGTCCACAGTGCATTGGGCATGGTTACCTGCAAGTTCACACAGCCAGGGGACCACTTTGGGTGCATTTGGCAAGACCCTGTGGATGTTGGTCCCGAGCTGTGGATGTCTCATGCGCTGTGGACTTGTGCATTCTTGAATTGTTTTGTGAGGTGGCATTGCAGTGCCTTTGCAATTTCCACTACCTGAAATGTAACTTTTCAGCTTTCCCATGGTGTTGTAACTTGAAGCTACAAAGCCCAGGGAATGCTGTTGTAGGTCTGAACACCAGAAAACACACTGGCATTCAAAGTCCAGGCGCTGGCACAGTCAGGGAGAAGAATTCTGTGCCACATCACAAGACGAAGCTAACCCACAAGATAGTGTAAAATGTTGTCGGGTTTGCTGGGTTTGTTGGGGGTGTTGGGGTGATCACAAACTGCAGGGTTTAAACACTGGATAACAATGTGGCTCCACCGTATGCCAGCACACCTCCGCTATGACCACCACAATATTGCAGAGCACATCATACACATACAATGCTAAATACATTAAGTTAAGCGCACACACATACTACATCCAACAACAACAACAACAACAAATATACAACAACGTACAACAGCATACACAAATGCAAATGTATTTGCAGCACTGTATTGTGCTCGATTTGCAGCATCTCACCAGGTCTGTGCACTGCAAGGCACTTTGGTCCGATGCAGCATCCTTTCTGTCGGCCCAGTCGTTGGCGGATAATGTGCTGCACAGCCGAGCACCCATCCTGCTTAGCGAGCTTTCGCGGATGCTGGCGACCAGCGATTTCCAAGGATCTTCAAGCACGGCCCTTGGCGCGATTTCGGCCCTGAGGGTCTTGGCGGACCGAGACTCAAGTGCCTTGAAGGCGGCCTTCCAACCCTGGGCCCCTCCCTTGTGGCAACTGATGCTTGCCATGCCTGCCAGTGGTGATGAACTTGTGAGCACACAGCAGATGCGACCCTTGGCACAGAATGTATTGATGCAAATGTGCAATAAAAGAAATTTGATCTACACTCTTTGAGGAATGTGTTGCCTGTGGCTTCTTTTGTTGGCAGAAAATGTAAGAGTCTGGAACTGCATCACATCCATCTCACCACGTCGTTTGGATGAGACTCTTGCCTAATTCACTGTTTCGAGGGTGCCAATCGCACTGCCAGATGCTGAAATACAGCCATGAGATAATTTCTCCCTCTGTCCAGAATTAAATGAAACAATTTTTGGACCCACGTACAGAAGTCGCCCTTCAAACGTGTTGCCTAGAGGTCCTCTCGTATGCTGCTTACAACATGGGGCTTGGCACTGTCGAATTGAATGATAATGCTTGTCTTTGAGTGTTGGTAGGCAGCCCATAGAGTGGGGAAAACATTGGTTTTCATGAGCTTTATGAAGGTTGTGGCGTCCATGTTGATTGGCTCATAGATGTGTTTGCCAGTTAGTCGATTCTTTAAGGATCTTTGTGCACATCTAATGGTGGCAAATGCCAAAGAGGCCATCATGCACTGTGCCATCAAACAGCTTGTATGAACTGCCAGCAAACACAAGAATGTAATCTTGGGAATGAAGGCTACGTGGTTGGTTGTGAGACTTCCCTACTGGGCTTCATTGTGCAATAGCCCTCCATGCCACCCATTAGATGGGGAACAGATTCGTTTTCATCTGTGTACACCCAGTACGTCCATGAATCAAACACAAATTGTCTGCACATTGGTTGGACCCGAACGATCGCAAACTCCCCTCTGTTCATTCTAGGAATTTCCATGCAATTTCATCAACTTGCAGTTTTGCTCATTCCCAAAGTGTCGGCTACATCGATGATCAAAGCACATGCAGCTCGATCGTGGCAGCCTTGCAGCTTCAAATTGATGCTGCCACATTCAGTCTGTGTGGCATTGGAATCTCTACTGGCCCAAAGCGATGGTATTTGTGGGAAGGGCCCCATTCTAAGACCTCATTTTCGGCATGTGCAATCCAGCCCTGAGAATATTCAAATTCTGGGCCCAAGTCGTGCACGTTTCGAGTATTGCCATTTGAGCACTCTTTATCAGTTCACTACCAAAATTTTGGAGCAACTAATAGACTTGTAAAGGGGCTTTGTCTGGAATTTCAAGGCCAGCAATGGATTTGTGATGTAAATGTGTCCTGGCAAACCAATGCGTTCAGTAGTTCCCAACAGAGACAATATAATAATTACACAAGAATATAATTCTTCTGCAAATTGAGATAAATGTACTTCTAAGGGAAGACACTATTTTGAATTTGGTATGCTTGGCATCAAATTGATGTCAAGGGTGGGAGGGGTCCAGCCCTTAATGCTAAGACATTTTGTAATTGTGCTAAAATCAAACTAACGTGGGAAGATGCACAAACAAACCCACTGATCAGCAGCAGATAGATCGTGATTTGTTGCAAAACTGCCCTCAAAAATTTGCATCTTTGAGGAAGTCCCTAGAACAGATCATTTTTAGGCTTTTGGGGCTGCTCCCATCGCCTAGTGTTACTTTTAGCACTGCATTTTTAAGATCACTGCAAGTGCCACAATTTCGGCCATTTTTGCCTCAAAAATTATTTTGAAGTTGTATGGCATTGCTAGGTAATGTTGCTGAGTCACCTGGAATCGAAATAAGGACTGATGCTGAGGACGGGGGGTGGGGAGGGGGGGCCCTGAGCCTAACGTCACATTGGCGCCAAGCGTACCAAATTCAAAATAGTGTCTTCCCTAAGTGTAAATTGATTTCTGCTGCTGAAATCATGACAGTTGTACTTGGAAACTGTGCGAACAGTGAATGCATGTCAAAGGACGCTGGGGAAACTCTGACTCAGATTCCAGATAATGAAAATTTAGCAGCACAGTGTTTTACATGACTCTGGCTAGAAAACTGCCAAAGGCTCCCCATTCCCCCAAAGTTGGCAAAATGTGACCAAGAGAGTGGCTGTTGGTGGCTGCTCCAAGGCCGACCATTGGGAAATTCTGGTGCCACTTCTTCTCAAACTGGGCAAACTCATCTTGGAGATTGAGGGCTTAGTGAAGCAGGCTCTGGAAGCCTGATCGGCGATCTCACTCGTGCATATAATGTTGACAAATGAGCTATTGAAATTGAAATATCGGCATGGAGTCTGGAGGGATATTGTGAAGACGATGCTGGAAGTACATGTGAATGCAAGTGCAGCATAAGTAGTGGAATAGTACAAGCGTGACTGATTATGGTTACAAGATTGCTGTTCACCACCTAGAAATGCATAGCCTGAATGGACCTGCATAGCTTATGTCCACCCACAAGGGAAGGTAAAAGTGGAATGATAGATAGAGTTATGTATATTTGTTCTGCAACAGATGATGAATATGGATGGATGATGGATGGATGGATGATGGATGGAAAGGAGAAATGCACCATCATGCAACAAATGTGCATTTGCAAAACACTGCAGAAAACTCTCAGATACGTGGGCTGCTCATCCCTCCACAATTGACACATCCTACTGTGGATGCCCAGGGCTATGTAGATTGGGAGACATACTCTACATTGCGCTTTTACTCCAGTCTAATTGGATTGGTGTCATGCTTGGTGGGTTGCAAAGTGCACCAGCTGGCAGGCAACTCACGCATCGTGCTGTACATCCCCCAGGACACTGATGCGTGTCTGCGGCTGCGGCGAGAAGCCCAAGACTGTGTCAGCCACCTGCTCCCCACCCTGTGCTCTCCATCCTTTTCGCCAGCCCTCCCCAAATCTCTGGCCCGGGTCCTTTTTCGTGACTTGATTGACAGGATGCAGAAGATGACGATGGGGGTGATGGATCTGGAGGCAGGGCTCCGACCTCAGGGCGTGCGGCTTGCACAGGATGCAATCGCAGCTTGGTCCCTGTTTACTGTGCAGCTAGGGGTCGCATTTCTTAAAGTCTCCAAGCTTGGGGAGCGGATGCTGAATGTGGGTGCAGTGCCTCGTGGAAGTTAAACAGAAATGTTGCACAGCGTATGTTACGAGCTGTCTCTGAATTGAAGTATCCGAATGGATTTGTTTTCAATTTGCTGGAATTGATTTGAACTGAGCTGCAGCTATGTGCCATGGAATAGGATTGAAATGCATTGTCATACTTTGCAAGGATGTTTTTTGTTTTTGGTGGTCAGTAGATTGACTCGGGGGCCAGCTAATGAGTTTGCTGAGTTGTGCCACTGTGTCATGGTCAGGTGGTGCGGCGAACGTTCACCCACTGTGAGGAACAGCTTGCCATCTCCACCTTCCACGCCTGGCATCGCCTGGTGGACAGTTTTGTGGCTTGCAGCATGTTGGCCAGGCACTGGAGGGTGCTGTGCCAGCCCATTACCCATTCCCTCCAATATGACTCACGTTGGTCAGTTAAACAGGTGCCACAATTTTGTCCGTTCAAATGGCGCATCAGTAAGCATTGCTGATGATGTTGAATTGAGTTGGCTTAGGGTCCATATCAGTGGTACTATGCCCAGAGGTTGAGTCGATGCTGTTTGTGATGACAAGGGGAAGCGGGGGCTTGTGACACTGGCGTGGCGCACATCCGAGCAAATGCAACAACATGTTGTCAGCTAGATACTTGTCCGCAGTAGCTGATTGATACCCCATATCAATATTCGCATCCGACACGAGTGCTTAAATCTTGTGCCCCCAGCTAGTTGTTAGTAAGCATCAGGAGCAACTTTCAAGCGAAGTGGGCATACAACTTAGTCAGTGCTTTAGCCCAGTACTCACTCGGTACAAAAGATTTACATTCAGTAGAGTACCAAGCCATGCATTTTTCTGGCTGGGGCGAATGAACAAGTTATCCCAAGCATGGAGTGTGGACAGAGACTGTGTTTGTTGTTACCTTGTGGGTGCAAGGGTAGCTTTAGTCATGTCTTGCAAAATGCACCATCGAAAATGGCCCACAAGTGCCAGAATTATCTTTCCTCGGTCTCATCCAACACGATTGATCCCCCCCCCCCCCTCCCTGGCAAATGGCCACCATCCAAGTGTGCACTCACAAAGCATTGTCCCAAAGTTATTTGCATGTGCCTGACAGCATAGCATTGGCCAAATGTGCGACTAATTGGGTTTTGCCAACATTTCTGCAATACTACTGCTCCTGTTAGTTGTACAATAGTGATGTAGTGTTAATAGTAATGCTACAACAATACTGCTACAATAGAATATTGGACAAGGGACACATTTGTCTCAGAAGCTGTTCAACATTGAAAGTCAGAAATGAATGGAATTAAATGAATAACTGGATTGAAATAGTCTAAACAATCGGTTGTTACCTGTGAGTTAATTGAGCAATATGTAATTGAGCGCATCTACTTAAACATGGAATTTGGTTGTGTGTGGAAATGGTCCAGGCAGCGCTAGTCTGCTGGCTGCACCTGGTCCGGCAGCTAGGCATGCTTCCAGAAGGCGGCCTTGACAATGCCAACGTATTCAGCCGCACTGTGCCACCGATTCTGGAGCTCCTTGTCCAGGTTTGTCCTGTTTTCTGTTGAAATCTGCCAAATTTTTGTGTTATTCAGTAGGGGAAGGCACTATGTCGAAATTGGTATGCTTAGCATCAATTTGACGCTGCGGGGGGTTTGAGGGGGGGCTTGACCTGTGATGCTAAGAGATTATGTAATTGGCACAATTTCGACATAAGGTCTGAAGATACACAACACGCTGACAGCGTTACGCTGTTGATCCAAGGTAGACGGCTCACGACTTGTTCCAAAAAAAACTCAAGCGTTCACACTTATGGGTGGGTGGGTGGCTCTGGGCTTAACGTCAAATTGATGCTAAGCATACCAAAATTGACATTGCGTCTTCCCTAAGTGATGTGCCAGGTGCTGAAAAGGAGTACGTTGTGTAGCCTGAACACAGCTTTGGTACATTTGTTGTTGGGTGGCAACACCTTTGCAGACAGGAATCCCATGTTGTGGGCCACATGTTTGCTATAATGGCTAGCTACATCATGAATGTGACAGTCAATGAAATGATAGGCATCGTGCAGCACTCAGTTCCATCTTTCTGCAGACTTGCACGGCTGAGGAGGGAAAAGACAAGACAGGAAAAACAGATGCTGCTGCATCACCGTCGCTGCTATACAAAATCATGCCACAGGTGAGCGAAAATTAGAGTATTGGCCCATTTTGCACCCTTGCATTTGAGAGAATATTGTCGTCCCATGCTGCGAATTGCTTTGGCCAGCAATCACACCAGCCTATGCATGTAACCACTCCTGGTTGGCCCAATCGACCATATGCAAAATTACTACTTGTCATAGAAGGCACTCAGTACATGTAGCATTGAGCCTCATTAAGAGCAAATTTGAGTCTCGACCCAAGTTCTGTATTGTGCTTCACGTTCCAATTCTTCCACATCTGAGATCTTGCACAGAACTGTGTCTCGAGCCACCTGTTCGTGGCCAATTGAATGCATGCGCAATGAAACCAAAAACCTGTTGCATTTATTGATTTATAGGCCCTTTCCATCCGCAATCAGTCGAGAAATGGCTTGTTCACCAACATTTCGCCTGCGCAGGTGTTCGACACATTCACATCCTTGGCCACTCCACAGACGGTGCCATTGTTTGCTGGTGCTTTTGCCGATCACGTCATCGACGGCTTAAAAGACGATCCGCCTGTATACGCTGCTGCCCTCCAACTCTGCAGCCCCCTGCTCGCTCGTTTTACGATTTGCCTTCAGTCGCCAGACTATTGCAGCACCAAAACGAGTGTAAGAAACACTAACACCCATTCTGGCAGAAGTGCAGCTCGAACACTGCTTTATCAACTCAGCTAGTTGTGCGCTTGGTGTCTGTTTTCCTACCTACAAATGCAATGCCAATCCGCAAGTCAAAATTGGGAACCCTAGAACCTTGCTTAGAACTTTAGAACCGTAACACCTTGCTATTCCAGGTTTTCGCAGGGGCGTTTCGTTGTGAATCACAAAAGTCAGAACTGGGCCTTGTTGTGACATTCAACGCGTCTTCTGGGATATTGCTTCAAAAACTAAGTGTTCAGTATATTCATTTTGACTAGCTAGGGAATGAATTGTGGGTCTTCTTTTGTTGCATCACTATTTTTATATTAATTTATGTGAATTCAATTCTGAAATGATGTTGAGTTTATGCCTTTATTTGTTTTGTGGCCGCTGTCACCAGTGGAGGAGCGTCCTGAGGCTATGGCAGTCCGTAATGAACGGCCTGCGCCGCACGGAGGACCCATCCTTGGGCACGATCGATGCCCTGGCGACAGGCATCAATGTGGCGCTTCGAACCTTGCCAACCTGCGAACCGAACTCAGATCCGCATGAATCTCATAAGGAGAAGTGTGGCGGCGCCATGGACGGCAACGCATGGGTGCGTGTGATTGTGCCCCAACTGTTACATAGTTGACCCTGGTGTCCATGCCCAATTGCCCATTGTCTAATTCGTATTTTAATCATTCTGATTAATGTTGCACATGTTCTATGTCTGGCCTTGTGCTTGCATTGGTTGGACTCCATCCAATTTTGATGCGCTTTTAATTCACGGTCTGTTGTTGAAAATCTTGTGACATAAAAGCATACAATTTACTCTACCATGTGCTTATGTGACACCTGATCATGTAGCCAAAGCATTGTCTTGCCTTTTTTCTCCAGTGCCCAGGCCTCGAAGACAAGGAAAATCGTGACAACCATGTAGCACATCAGGTTCACTGCAATGGGTTGGTGCATCGGCTGGAGTGCTTGCCAAGAGAGCTGGAACGGGCAAGAGAGGCGATCGAACGGCTTGAGGAGCCAGTTGGGGCTGCCAACGATGGGGCCTTAACAGGCAAGCGGGAACAGAGGGTTCACAAACCGCATGATTCATAAGCACGCACTTGATGCTGCAATCCTTTCGAATGTATTGCCAGGGTGTGGCTGCTGTTTGAACTGTCTCTTTCCTGGCAGGACATCTGCCTGGTTGAGGCTTTGGAGAGTAGGAGTAAAGAACGGTTCTGGGAACCCCGTTTTGTGAATGGAACCCAGCATCGTCCAACGCACCAAAAGTACTTACCATACTTACATGTGGTACTGACCTACTGGTATATTGCCTCGTTTCACAGTGTTTCTGTCTGTGGCTGAACAATGTACCAATCATGCAAAGCATGTCTGTTGAATTGGGTGGTCTTGTTTCAAAATGTTTTGGTCCCTTCTCCCAGCAGTGATTGCTGACAAGGAGCCTGGAGGCGTGAGAAAGCGGAAAACCAATATACACCATGGCGTGGATCGCGACAATGCTCCTGGGCCGTGCTGCAGGAGAAAGGTGTGTCAGATCGTAGAGTCACCACCTCACTACCAGACCAGGAAAGCATCCACATAACAACCAGAGAACTTGATTCATTTATGTATGGGTATTGCTTCGATGTAGTGCGTTGATTGTGCATTGATCTGGCATTTGATGCGCTAAATTTCTATTGCTTGCTTGCGGAACAGACCTTGCTTGTTTGGTTACTTCATTTGTGGAAGGTCAGCTGCTGAAAAATGGCCCAAATCGTTCAATGATGTCGACCACGGTGAATTCATTCCTTGAATGGTGTTGGCACCTTGAGCAAGAGTATGTGTGGTAAGCATGTGGAATTCCGTAGCACGTATCAGACGATGCCTAGTGCCGGTCACATGCATGGGTGTCGCTTCCGATGAAGATATGGCCCCTGCTCCCCATCGATCGGCCCTAAATTCTCCTTGTGAAGTTTGACTGTATGGTGACAAACGCTTTTGCCGTTGTGCTTTTCCATGGTGATAAACACCCAACGACGGTGCGTGTGATTGTTCTACTTTGCACCTAAGCTTTTGTTTATGGGTTAAATGTTATTGACAATGGCAATTGGCATAGACGCACATCCAGAATGTGCAATTTTATGAAATAAGACAAATGGCTTGAAGCTGAATCACAGCTGAGCCCTGAGTAGAGGCAGTGCTGAATCCATTGATAAACCAGTACCAAAGCTGCCTGTGTGTGCTGCCAGGTAGCAGACCACCCAGCGGGAGGCTGGAGGCCAGCGGCGTCCAGCATGTGCCCCCCCGCAGGGACATCAAACGCACCGCAGGCACAGACGGTGGTGTTGCAAGGAAGTGGGCGCCATGAGGAGGAGGAGCTGCGATCTCGTGCCCATGATGGAGATGCGTTGCGATTTTGTCAACATGGTGCGAATGTATTGGGATCCCACGCCCATGGTGCAGATGCATTGCGATCTTGTGACCATGGTGCTCACACAGCGCGATACCGTGCCCACTGTGGATGAGACATTGGACGCCACAAAGAGGATTTGGAAGCCGTTGTCGCCTGGCCCCGGTCCCAGGCGGCGCAAATATGTGGGGGTGGGATGCAGGAACGCGTGCTTCGCAAGGTTCAACTCCCGTCTTCGATTCTAGCAGCCATCGAATTGTCAGTGTTCAAATTCTGATCTCGACAACGGTTGCTCAAGTCTTCATCGACCTAATAGTCTTAGTTTAGAAGTTATTAATGTCGCAAGCATTGTGCTTCCATTGTACTTCACCTGAAGTAATTATCAGCTTCTACATTGAGTTGTTCAAGTGTGTCTTTACTGCAAGAACTGCATGTGCTCATTTCTTATTATTTACTTATTTGTTTTTTATTTATTTATCCACTTATTGTGGTGAATTGTTCGCTGAGCTCATTGTTTGGTACGACTGCAGTTCAACGTGGAGCTGACGATCCTCTGTCCGCCCGGGACGTCGCCGAGCTCGAAGTCAATCAAACCGAGGAAGATGCCCTGAAACTGCAGGGAAGTGCCACGAAGCTGCGCGGAAGCACTACGAAGGTGTCAGCAGCTGGCTCGACGCCTCTGACAGGAGCAACCGAAAGGGTGCACCCAGCTGGCAGCGCTCCCTCGCCGCCACATTTGTTGGGCGGAAGCTGCATGGCGAACCCTGATTTGAGTTCAAGGGGGCTTGCGCATGATGAGTCATGTGGCAGGGGCCGGGCTGAATATGAGCCGGGGGCCGCACCAACCCTGGCCTACGGTGCGAAAGAGTTTGTGTTGGCGATTCGAAAACTGGCGGAGGGCATCGCATCCAGCGGCGCAGGGGTGCGTCGGACGCCGTGGAGTGACATAGTTTATGCTGCACGTGTGCTGCTGCTCGGTTCAAGTGCTGGCACATCTCTGAAAGGCTGTCGAAAGGGGGGCGTCAGACACATTGGTCACTATGTATCGCATGTGCAGGAAGGGGTTGGCTGGAAGAGTCGTGATTGAAGTGTGAATGTTGAAACAGTAGTGAACGCTACAACAGCTGTAAGCACAAGGCTTCGTTGGATGGAGTGTGTTGGCTGTGCCCATTTCCTCAGGTCATCTCATACTCTCAACGCCGTAGATGATTTTGTCTTGCTTTCAGCGCTGTCCTTCGCACCGTCTTGTCTTCGACACAGTTCTTCACATTGTTGTCATCTTGCTGGTATTTCAATGATTCATTTGGTCCTGCACTCAGCACAACAATTCTCCTTTCCTTCATGTTTTGCTCAGAGCAGAGTGCTGGTTTGCATGCAGGCAACCGAGTTGTGGGCAATGCACGACGAGGCCACACTTCTGCAAAGGAGCATTGAGCGCCAATTGAGGAGGCTCTGAGCAGGTCGCTAAATCGTGGTCAGGCGGACGAAAAGAGCAGATGCAGGAAAATTCAAGGACTATAGTGATAGACATGTGAGATAGATAGATAATAGTAGTATTGTAGCCATATTGCAGAGATGGCTGGTTTTGCATCTACCGCATGCATTAGATAAAAGGGGGGAGGAGGGGGGCATTTTTCTGGCACAGACCCATTACGGCACGATTTCGATCCATATTCACTGTACACAAGGTATCAGAAGTTTCCATTCTGTATGTTCCACCGTGCCATGTGCCAGAATGGGGCAGCATCTGGTCTCGCCGTCTTCGTTTTCCAATAATTTCGGCCTCATTATCTATTTGTCATTGCGAATCATTTCAATTCATTTGTACCAGCGCGAGGACCTGGGGTTTGTCGAGAGCGAGTGCTAAACCGGCCGTCATGGCCTCCTCATCAGGGGCGATCCGCCAGCTCGCCTGCGCCCACCAGCCCAACAGGCTCGGAACGTCAATCATGTAACAATTTCTGACCACACGGGTTGTGCTGCTCATAGCAACGCATGCATACGTGCATATGCGCATTTTCGTTGCCGACGCAATGCAGATTCCAGTCTCCTCAGGCCCGACAGCACCACAACCTCGTCATGCATGCGGAAGAAGACGCCCCGTATTCGACAAGCACATACGTGTGTAGGATATTGAATCCCAATGCATTTCGGCCATTTGTTAGTCTTGCGCCCGCACTGTCATCGAAAAGTCAGCAGTAGCAGACACATCGCCTGTTTTCAGAATGTTGTCAGGAATAACACGCGCCATAACGGATTAGTCATTTGCAAGAATAAAAAGACCTGTTTTTGCCTAATTGTCCATGAACATGGACCACTTGCACGTAAAAGCCAGTCCTGGCGCCCACCCATCTGCTGTGGTCTCTTTGCAAGGAAACTCGCCTAAATGTCGCCAGTCCCGCGGACGGCATTCCACGAAGAATTTCGCACATAATGTGGTGCATAATGTCGTGCAGATTACGCGCAATATTCCCAATAAGGTCATAGTTTATACACTTGTCTCACATCTAGAACTTTGTTCCAGGATGGAGGTTATTTCTTGTGATGGGGCCCTCCTGTACCTCGGAAGTTATTTGCAACAAGTTGTGGATGCACGGCGCATGCGCTTGCCTGGTCATCGCTAACGGCGAGATTGATCGACAATTTTGTGTGGTCGTCAATCCCTGGACTCCTGGTTGCTGCGTTGAAGGTCCCTTAGGATAGTTCTCAGCACGGGACGCCGAAGTTGTTCTAGTCAAATTCTTCACGGTCTTGCAGGCCTCGACCACCGTTTACACGATTTGGGTAAAGGCAAGACGTTCGAAGCAATAATGATGATGATGGTGGTGATAGAGACGTTATTGACAGTAAATCAATGCAATGCTGGAGAAGATTGACATAGTACGTTCGCATCTCGTAGTCTCGAACATTTTTGGCTTTCTTGTGACACGCCAGCAATATTGGGGCCTGGCCCCGGCTTGGATGTGAACACCACACCCAACGTCGCCTATCAGGCCCTGTTATACTTGCCACAGGGCAGTGCTTTGTCATACTTTTATCGTAAGTGCTGTAAGACCAGCGATAAATCGTGTGTATGTAGATTAGCTTAGCCAACCAAGATTTGCCCACAGACATACAACTGGACGCTACACCTGGAGATGCATGACATGACGTTGTTGCGGTTCCATGCTTGGAAAGGGGATATTCTCTATCAGGTACCTTGCAAGGACGGTTTCACGTTCATGCACATCTGCGCCCATTGGCAAGATTTGCGCCCATGGTAATTCACACTTGAATAGCCTGAGCGAAAAAGCTCTTGGCACAAGCGCACTTGTCTGTGCGAAATAGCACATGACACCCATGTGTTATACTTCTAGAATGCCAGCCACCTATGTGTTCAGCTTATGCACACTAGTAGTATACGGGCAGCAGCACCTTTGGCCATAACAGTATCACCCAGTTCCTTCGCGACAGAACTGTGGCACCTTTGCAGGTTGGATTGCTGCAGCTTGAGCGGCAACAGTAGCAAAGCCGGAATGGGGGCCTGTTTGGGTGAACTGTAGCAGTGGAAGCCTGACGTCTGTAGTTCAATTGGGTGGACTGTAGCGGTAGAAGCCTGACGTCTGTAGTTTAATTGGGTGGACCGTAGCAGACTCTGTGGTGCCCAGGCGCATTGCACGGTGCAGTTGGCGCAGAACTGAGCGGCGATGCTGGGATACAACACCGAGCAATGGATTTGTTACAACGTTTTGCAAAATGATGTAAAAGCATTGGAGCAATTCGGCAACAAGCATCGGCGCACACGATTTCAGTCGAGTTGAACGGTATCATAGCGAGGGGCTGGGAAAAGGCCTGTGCAGGTTGTGGCAGTGCGTCTGCCACCTCGCGCACTGGTGGGCATCAGGAGAGCCGCCCCAGCGATGTGGCTGTTCTCCACACAGTGCCGCTCGGCACGATGCACAGCAGCGACCCAGTTGCCAGGGTGGCCGCCCTCCCAAACGGCGTTAATGCACCGGAGGTTGTGGCGACCACGGCAATCTTGACAATCTTGACAATATCACCAATTGCAACGATCCCTACAAGTCCCTCCTGTCGCCAACCCATCCATCTGTCAAGGATTATTGAAAGATGAAGGGAGGCAGCTGCGGCCTTGCTGCTTTTGCCATGGCAAGCAATACCAGTGAATCGTTCAATGACAACTCAGGGCTGTGCAGCACGGTTCTACCCAAGCCACCGACACGTGCAAGCAGCTCTAGCCACTCACAGCAATCGCAGCCATCTTGGCGCCAAGATGGTGCCGTATGGCAGGAAAGCCAACCGCCAACTCACAATGGTGAGGCGCTTCTCCAGGCAATAAACGTCCTCTCATTCACAGTGTTCGCCATCAGCCACAGACACTGACAGCCTTCAACCAGCTTGGCTAGCTTGCTGGTTACCTTTGCCACCTGGGGCTGACGGTCCCGTCCCACGCCTGGGAACTTCAAGGTGATGAGGATCAGCCCGCCAGGCCGCACGGCCGGTATGAGCCCTTCCACAGCTTCTGCTGCCCTGTCAGGAAGAGCAAGTGTCAGTCTCGATTACATGATAGCATCTTTATTGGTCGGTGCTATTGCACCGGCGGCGCTATACAGGAACGGTTCTCATTGGCTGCCGTGCCACGGTACTATGGCAACACTTGCTGAATAGCACCGGTGCTATTGCTCCCCTGCGCGCATCCGCAATGGTCAGTGGTATTGCTGTGCTGGATGGCAGCATGGCAGCTCTACAATGTTCTGTGCGAATAGCACTGGGTGCTATTCCGGGGTGCTATTTGGTCTCGAGCAGTGCTGTTCGGGCCCAGAATGGCACCGCTCGGCACAAAATAGCATCGGCGGTGCTATTGGGGTGCTATTGCTACCCAACCGTTAATGGTCGTCTTCTGACGTGCGGTTCTATTCAGGCAGCCAAATAGCACCGCCGGGACAATAGCACCTGCCAATAAAGATGCTCTGAGAAGGCAAACTCGACACACCACAGCGAAACAGCGTGTTGCAGCAACAAAACGCATTGCAACATGTGACGTAACGATGCAGCTGCACCCGCAAGGTCTGTTTGATAACACCTGTCAGTCATCGCCATCACGAAACCTTACAACATGAAATTTTGCATACGCCTGTCAAGTCACAACAAATGCTGAGCCTCCAAGACACAAAAGTGCTGGGCAATGCAAGTCGTGATGAAATAGCCCAGGGCAGTGCACTGCCTTGCACTTGCCAGCGATGGTGGGCGCCGTTCCTTCACCTGTAGGGGTGCTGGTTCATGTCGCAGACGAGCAGGTCCGCGGCGCAGCCAGCCAGGTTGTCCTGCACAGCCGAGAGGGCCTCCTCGCCCTTGAGGCGTATGTGAAATACGTTGGGCAGCAGGGCGCTGGGCGATAGGGCTGCGGGGTCGATCGCCAGCACGCGCCTGAATGGGAGGATGCGTCGCGTAAGGACAAAAGAAAATGACCACAAGTGCAACAAATACATTAGTGCAGTAATGTGATAATAACTGTGCAGGGATGTGCTTATTCAGTCAGGTCATGTTGAGCGTCAAGTCGACAAGGTGGCTGTCCAACCCCTTTTTGCTACTGCTGGTGAGGGACGTCATCAAAATGCAGCTGAGTTCAACTACCTGGTCCTGTTTTGACTCAGTTTAGTTATCGCTGCAGGGTTCATGGCAGTATGGACTGAGATAAACATGGCACATCTGTAAGTCTGTCGGTCTGCCTACTTGTCCATCTGTGTTTCATGTCTGTTTGTGTTGTCTGCATAGGAGATTGTAATGCAGCACAAATTGCAGCCTTGAATCCAAGTCTTTTTGCCTTTGGTGCTCCTCTGTACTGAATATCATCCTTGTCGTGCCAATCTTTGTCAAACTGAACATCAACTGCGACAAATCACTGCCATTCCATCAATTGGGTAAATCTAATGTGCCCAATGGCATTCGCAAGCATCTGCAGTAACCTATACTGTATGGAAAGAGCGTCTCAACATTAATAGGCAAATCTCTAGCAACGCTAGGTGAAGTGCAGCAGTGTGAACCAAGTCGCCCGTAGGTGTTTGGGATGCTTTTGACGCACAAATGCTTTGTTCGTTGTAGCCAGTGCCTGAACATTGTCCTACACATCCTTCAAACCAGAATCTTGGGGTTGTAAGTTGTCCATGTGACCGTGAAGGGCAAATGTAGAATGTACAATGATATAACATATATATCTTACCTGTTCGTGAAGAGTTGCGACGTCAACATTTAGCCATGAAGGAGATGAGCAACAAGATGTCCACTCTGATCTTGGCTGTGACGCAGGAGGGTTCCAAGGGTCCGAACGGGAAATCACTGCTACGTCGAGCATGGGATGGAATGTGGGGTGTTGAAAGGGACTAGATAGCTAAGGAGCTAGTAGTTTACGAGGATTCTTCGAGCAGTAATATGACGTCAACTTCACAGACGGACTTTGAG